CAATTTTCGAAAGTGGTGTGGACGCTGCTTTTGAAGCTGAAGATGACAAAGCTTACCTCTTCAAAGGCAACCAGTATAATTATATAAATTACGAGAAGAGATCCTCCATCACCAGTGGTACCATAACTGAGAAATTTTCTTGCTTGAAAGATACCAAATTTGAAGATGGAATAGAAGCAGCCTTTGCTTCCCACAAGAAAGGTGAGGCTTACCTTTTTAAAGGAGATCTCTGCGCACTCATCAACTTTGATGACAACTGCCTTGTTGAAGTGGACACAATTGGAAACAAGTGGCACAACTTTGGAAGCTTGGTGCCCTGCAAGAACGTGATGTGCACCTGAACTCTTGCCTATTTTAAGGTGTTGCAGTTGGCAGTTGAAATTTTTTGGGGTGGGATCCTGGTGGTTCTTAGTAGTAAGATATCTGCATTTCACAGTTCGTGTCTTTCTGCAGTTTGTTTCCAGTATTTTGTTTCTCGTCGTAGTAGTATGATGTCTGCACTTCGTTGTTTTCTTTGAGTTTCATTTGGGTGTCTATGTGGCTTAGAATTATTTGAAATTTCATGTTTCTTTCTTAAATTTTCTGCATTTTTTTAAGGGAAACAGGTTGGATTATGAAAGCATGTCTAAAGATGACCGACCCTCACATTTTTTTGGTGGTTTCAAGCATTCATGGATCCATAACTGCATGTTTTTAAGGGAAACAGGTGTCTAACTTTAAGAGAATGTTTTACTGTCTTGAAGATACGAGGGATGGAAACTACTATTGTTATTGGATACGTATAAAATTGACCTTTTTCCTCTGTGACAAGGTGATGGGTGTCTGAGTTTCCTAGGTATAAACCCTCCAATGAGAGAAGCTATGCCACACACTTCATTTGTTACTTAAAACAGTTAATATTTATTATTTAATCAATTGAAATCAATTTAAAAACAGATATTTTCAAATATTATAACTAGTTATTTTACAAAAAATTATTATTCTGATAAAAAACAGATAAAATAGATAAATTATGTGTTCATAACAATTGGCGTTGTGTTCAACCCAAAAAGAAATCTAAAGCCTGAAAATTTCTGAAAAGTTTACATTCTAGGGTGGTCTGTATCGTATTACCCTGATCAATCATTGATCTTATCAAAACGAATACCCTCAAAATATGTGGAAGGGAAACGGTGACCGTCTGGTGAGACATTTACGATTTGTCCTTCTCTTCTACTTTGATGTGCCGTTTTTATCAGCATCCAACAAGAGAATTGTCAAAAGAAAATGACCTGCAAACAAGTAAGGATGTCCGCCTTTCACTTAATACATGGACCTGAGAGAGTAGAACAATTTCTTCCATTCTTATCAAACTATTAACAAATTCCGAGTGCCATGAAACATAGCAAGAAGTGTAGTGGTGCACAATTAGCTTTGAAATTTAGAGACAGACTAAATGGGACAACAAAAACCATCGTTTTTGCTACAGATCTCGTTTTTTAATCATTAAGAGGATAAACTGCTTCTCCCCAAACTTAGGGAGCTCTTAATATATATAAAGCCAGATCACTTGCAGGGCATAATAAAGAAAATATTTCAGTCATTGATATCATTTTACGCTAATGTTGCTAAAAAATATCCATTTGCAAGAGATATCACCAAATATATGCGACATACCTAGGTGATTTGTGGCAGAATGAAGTTCCAATATTGTCTTTGGAAAGCTTGAAAGGAGTCCCCAGGAATCCTGCATCGTTACCAGCAATAAAAAGGATAAATCATGTGGTTATGTATAAATAGGTAAGCAGACAGCAGAGTTGAAGGTCATATAAATTATAATAATTGAGAGAATTATGAAGGAAAAGATGAGAATGATGGTAATCCACACATCTAGCCTAGAACTAACAAGTGGAAAATGTTACAACCTTTTTTTTACATCAGAAGGTTCAATGAATGACCTGAGGACTTATGATCTGAGGCAAATTTCCTCACAGATGCCAGTGCGCTGAGATCCAACTCCATGACATCAACTCTAGCAGAAGAGATTTCCTTAACAACTGCTTCTTTACATCTTTACCAGCAACCATATCTCATACCGCCATAATTACACAGACACTATGCATAGCAAGAACATGTTCACTTTTGATGCCGAAGCCATTAGATGCCCCTATAATCGCAGTGGTTATGAAAGAGAGTATATACCAGTTAATAAACACACGAAATTCTTGCAGGAAAACAACTCAGAAGTAATTTTGAATGATAGCAATGTGTTTATTTGTTCAAATTAAAGCCTTTTATGTTTTATTCAGTTAGTACTTTATGGTAATACTTTGCTACAGAGGGTTGTGTGTAGCGGTGATATAAAAGGCCTGCCAAAAACTGCATTTTAGTTATGTCATTGCAGAATTAACTTCCTGTCAAGATCTTTTCTTCAGTTTCTAATCAATTCTTCTCTGTTTCTTCCCCATATTCTTCCTTGAAACAACTGGATATAATAAGAAACAACCATGTAGAATCACAACAAACATCTAGGTATTGTAAACATAATTCAAAATGAATCATTACCTCGTATCAAAAGCTTCAGAAAATTGTCCAAGGCATTTCACCTGTGACCACTATCACAACCTTTTCAAGCTATGCAAAGCTTTACAAGTTATGACATCAGGCATAATTCCCATCTTTGTCATTTCTCTAACAAGCCTGAATGCATCATTGATTCTATTACACTTCACATATCCTTGGATCAATATGGTATAGCAAACTAAATCAGGTAACAAACCCATAGTTTCCAACGAGTTAAAGATATCAACTGCCTTTTTCATTTCCCCTTGCAAACAATAACCATGAATTATGAGACTAAAAGTAATTAAGTTAGGCTTCACACCTATATGAGTCAACATATCAAGAATTTCATGAGCTTTTGACATCATCCCATTTCTGCAAATAGCATCCAACAATATGTTGAAAGTTACAACATCTGGTAAGATATCATGATTCACCATTCTATCCAACAACTTTGTTGCTTCCCTCCATTGTCTTGAATGGCACAATAATGAGTTGTGAGTGATGATATTAGGCTCCAAAATCCTTGCAGTCATTAGCTTCAATATGGTAAGAGCTTCTTTAATTCCTTTGTTCTTGCAAAGAGCATCAATTAGAGAACTGAAAGTTACTGCATCTGGCATGATCCCTTCTTCCATCATTTTGTTAAACAAGCTTGTGGCTTCTTCCCATTGGCCTGAATGACACAACTCATTTAACAATGAGTTGTAAGTAATAACATTGGGCTTCAAACCCCTTTCATTCATTTGCTCCATAATGCTGAGGGCTTCTTTGGTTCTCCCTTGCTTGCAACAAGCATCAATTATAGAACTGAGAGTTACCACATCTAGCATGATTCCTTCTTCCATCATTTCATTAAACAAGCTTACGACTTCTCCCCATTGACCTGAATGACAAAATCCATGAATTAGTGAGGTGTAAGTGACAACATCAGGTTTGACAAAATGCATCACTTTCTTCAAATGGATAGCTTCGGTCATCTGGCCTTCCTTGCACAAAGCATTTATCATTGAACTTAATGTTAAAAGATTAGGCAAGATTCCATAATCAATCATGTTTTCCACGTACTCTCTGGCCAATCTCCATTCACCTGACTTGCACAAGCCACAAACCAAAGAGTTATAAATTACAACATTAGGCTTTATGTCTGTTTGAGACATTGAATCAAATAGAGCAACTGCATCTTTGGTCTTCCCTTCCTTAATAAAAGCATTGATCAGAGTGCTGAAGGTGTACTCATCTGGAGAAATTCCCATATTAATCATGTCAGTCAAAATGCTGGTGGCTTCTTCCTGCTTACCCTCGGCACGCAGCCCATGAATCAACGAATTATATGATGCCACACTAGTTTTAAACCATCCAGCACCAGCACCATTCATGGATCTGTGCAAAGCAAGTGCCAGGTGAGTGTTTCCTGATTTACAGAGCCCACTAATTAAAACACTACAAGTAAAAGCATCACATGGGTACTCGATGTCCACTATTTTCCAAAGCAACTCCATGGCCTCATTAATCTTAAATTCTAGGAAAAGCCTACGAAGCAAAGGATTCATAGTATAACCGTCAGGTTGAAAACCACGTTTAAGAACCACAGCCAGGATGGAGAAACCCAAATCCACCCGGTTCAAATTGCAAAAGCAATTGACCAAAGTGTTGAATGTATAGATATTAGGCTTAATTCTATCAAAACTCATCAACTGTTTATACATGGAAACCACAGAGGAATATTCTTTCATTTTGGAAACAGCCACAAACAGATGATTAAAAGCCCAGATAGAAGGCAAGTAGCTCATTTTAATCATGGAGTGGAAGGCACTCAAAGCTTGAGGAAGCTTAAGAGACACAGATTCAGCCTTTGCCTTGATCCAGTTCTTACAAATGAGTGGTCTTAATCTTTCCATTTGGTCGAACAGAATAAAGAGAAAAATGATTCCTGATTCAGGAGAGAAAAATTGGATAATTACCAGGAAATGCAAAGCCCATAAAGAATCTATCCTCCTGCTGCTGCTCGTGTGAATTTTAGAAAAATTATGCAGCTTTGCTACTTGCACCCATCTCCTTCCTCTGCCTGCCTCTGATATGGAGAATGATAATAAAAAATGATTCTCCTCCCGTTTGTTTCTACTCTTTTTTATTGATAATCCCCGTCTGGTTCTCCTCTTTAACTGGACATTGGTTTGGGATGATAGGGATTTGTACGCATCTAGGCCGGGATCGGAACCAGAGGACTAGAAGATGGTGGCTTGGTACCTTAGCGAGAGACAAGGTTATAATCAAGCCTAGAGGCCATGAATGAAGGAATGAAACTTGAGAATGATTGTAATTTTGAGGGATGCTAAGGCTTAAAAGTTGTGAGACGTAGAAGCAGGGGAATAGTGAAGTTGAAGCATTGAAGAAAGGCGGCGGAAGACCTGTAAGGGTGAGGGGTGCAATTGGGAGATGAGGAGGAGGTAACACCGTGTTCGATTGGATTTGGGGGAGAAAACATCCAGTGGCTGCAGAAGCAATGGACTCCCGCGGCAATGAGAAGGGTTTACCAAAGAGGAGAAGGGTTTAACGAATGGAAGAAGAAGGGCTTCACGATTGTTTTAACGAAAAAGGTAAAACAAAAATTAAAATTTAAAAGGGCTTAATTGTTGAAATTGAAAGTTTTAGGGGCTTATTTGGTGCTTGCTTTTGGAACTCTCTACTGCAAAAAGATTTAGTAAAGTGTACTGTAGAGAAAATGGAATGGCGGAGCCAATGGAAACTTCTCCTTTCCCAGAACCTGCCGACCTCGACTTCATTCTCAGGTCCTTCTCTATGAATCCGTAATCTATGGTTGCTGCTCTCTGCTTTATGTATTCCTTACTTTTTCTTGTTCGCAATACTTCTCTTCTTCTAGTCGAATAAAGGAGCTGTCGGGGATTCATACTTGTGCCAACGAGGAATTGCCTAAAACTGTCCCGCTGGAATCTGACGGCTTACTTAAAGATTGTGCTGTTCGTCTCGAGGTGATTGTCAAGTTTCTCTCTAAAACTTTCATTTTTTAATTTCTTTTCTTGACAAATTATGGGTGGAATTATGCAGCGCAGAGTGCACCAAATTATAGATGAGTAGTCTGATGTTGGTTTTCTAGCCATTGAAGATTTGGGTAAGTTCCATTTGTTATGCTTTCATGGGAGCAATTAAAGTAGAGATTTTGGGTGTTTTCTTGATGTTGATTGCTTTTATTATTAATGCAGATGCAGGTGTGGAATGTTTGAAGGAATAACTTAAGGAGGTCGAGGCTGAAAATACCAAGATTTCTGGTGCAATAGAGGTTCTTTGAAGAACAAATGTTGAAAGTCAGATATAATAATCTCAGTTTTTTTTCTTTTAATAAAAAGTAAAAACATGTATGGATGTTTGTGTTTTTTTGACTCAGACCCTTTAGTTTCGCAGAATCATATAACTTTATTTTCTAGATCTTTAACTTTTGACAGGTGTCTGATTCTCTAAGTTTTTAATGATATCAAAATGAATCATCTGATGGAGTTCGGGTTTTCTATTTGACCTTGCAGGTTGCAGCGTAGGATTATTTAATCATCATAAGTAAATCAACTGAGGCATACCATATGGATTAACTAATTTCTTATGTCTGCTTTTTGGAATTTGCGTAGGGAAGGTTCATCAGAAGCAATCTTCTAGGAGTGAGGGAGCTAGACTGCTGAATAGGAACAGCCTGAACTCTAAGTTCTAACTAGCCATGGCTAGAAACCAAGTGGGAGTTCTTGATGGACTTGATGTTGCAATGACACTGTCACCATTTACGGCTATAGCGATTATCAGAATGGGATTCTTCACTGATGCTTATGATCTATTCAGCATCTGATGCCAGTACAACGACAATTTTGATGAATTAGAATAGCTTCAGCAATCTCAATAGGGCCGATTTGGGCGGCTTCGTGCTGGGGCCATGCTTAAACTAGGTCTTGTGGCCGATGCTTTTACTGTTGAGTTCTCTTCTTTGCAAGCTCATTGTGGCTGGGAATACCAAAGAAGCAATTTGTCCATTTCATTCAATGTCTCAGAGATAAAGCATAATGTGGTAACTTGTAACAGATTGGTCTGTGCCTTGTGCAAGTCAGGTAAATGGGGACAGGCCACACAGTTTCTTGAGAAAATGATTGAAGAAGGGACCAATCCGGATTTGGTAACTAACTTCCAATTTTCTAATTGATGCTCTTTGCAAAGAACCAAGAACTGAAGAAGCCATAAATTATTTGAACGAAATGATGGAATACAGTGAAGGTATCCTGCCAAAAATTAAGTATATATTCGCAAAAGGCCTAACATATAATGAACATATTAAAGTTTACTGGTCTACAAGAGAGACTGATCACAAAAGTCTCTGATGGAGGAACAGTAGAAACAGCTGCATTACAATCAGGACAAAACATCTGAGTTCATCATCAAGCTCCTCCAATTCCTAGTTCCCCTTGCTATCTTAGGCCTAGTGCTTCTTTCATGTTTACCATCGAACACTGTATCTGTGAACTTTCTTCTCTCCTTGTCCCCGGTTTGTGACTGGTTGTGTAATGATTGTTGTGCTCTCCTCCTCTCCCTACACAATGCACTTGGCATGAATCTTTAGTACCCTCATAGGATTTAACCATTGAAGGGGGATAAGGTTATGGCCATAGCGCCAATTGTTATGGCCGCATGGCCAATTGTTATGGCCATATGATTTATCTATTTTTTGTTAAATAACTAATTATAATATTTAAAAATATCTGTTTTTAAATTGATTTCAATCGATTAAATAATAAATATTAATTATTAATTGTTTTTAACAGTCAAATTAACAAAAAAAAAATTAAACAAATTGTGTGATTATAACAAATGGAGTGTGTGGCCATAACTCTTATTGGAGAGTTTATACCTAGAAAACTCGGATACCCATCACCTTGTCACTAACAGAGGAAAAAGGTCAATTTTATAAATATCCAACAACAATAGTTGTTTCCATCCCTCGTATATTCAGGAGAGTAAAACATTCTCTTAAAGTTAGACAACTGTTTCCCTTAAAAACATGCAGTTATGGATCAAAGAGATGCAGGATTTGGATCCACGAATGCTTGAAATTAGCAAAAAAAAGTGGAGGTCGGTCATCTTTAGACATGCTTTCATAATCCAACCTGTTTCCCTTAAAAACATGCAGAAAATTCAAGAAAGAAGCATGAAATTTCAAATAAATTCTAAGCAACACAGACACCCAAATAAAACTCAAAGAAAACAATGAAGTGCAAATATCATACTTCTAAGACAAGAAACAAAATACTGGAAACAAACTGCAGAAAGACACAAACTGTGAAATGCAGATATCTTACTACTAAGAACCACCAGGATCCCACCCCAAAAAACTTCAACTGCCAACTGCAACACCTTAAAAGAGGCAAGAGTTCAGACGCAAATCATGTTCTTGCAGGGCACCAAGCTTCCAAAGTTGGGCCACTTGTTTCGAATTGTGTCCACTTCAACAAGGCAGTTGTCATCAAAGTTGATGAGTGCGCAGAAATTTCCTTTAAAAAGGTAAGCCTCACCTCTCTTGTGGGAAGCAAAGGCTGCTTCTATTCCATCTTCAAATTTGGTATCTTTCAAGCAAGAAAATTTCTCAGTTATGGTACCACTGGTGATGGAGGATCTCTTCTCGTAATTTATATAATTATACTGGTTGCCTTTGAAGAGGTAAGCTTTGTCATCTTCAGCTTCAAAAGCAGCGTCCAAACCACTTTCGAAAATTGTATCTTTCAAGAAGGGGAACATGAGTTTAATTTCTTTTTGCCAATAAATAACCTTGATTTTATGGTTTATGTATGCACAAAAATCCCGACTAAAGATGAATGCTCTGTGGCCACGATGACAAGCAAAAGCACAGCGCACCCTTCTTGCACCAAATCTACTCAGCCACCTAGGGCCACTATCAAGAAAATTAGGCCTTTCCACAATGCGATCTTCTAGATAGTTCACACACAGAAAAAATTCGCCCATGAATATGTAGGCTTCATTCTTTGCAGCTGAACGGAATGCGGCAGATATATATATATCAATTTCGAAATCTTTGAGAGCTCGCTGGAACCGACGTTCTAATGCATCTACTTTATCTTTAGATACACCATACTCTGCATGTTTAGCCCTCAACTCAAGTAAAGAAACTGTCTTATCTCCAACACTGTAAAAACAATTGCAAATAGTAAGAGGCAAGTAACATGAATCGGAAAACATGCACTTGAATCAAAATCAAATAGTCATTGAGTAAAATTATACCATCTATTTTCAGTGCCAACACAATAAAAGAAATTAAACAACTTCTCTGGAAGTGCATAAAAAACGATGTATCAAATCACCAAGCGAATCCAACCAGTTAAAATTAAACAAAAATAATCGAGAATTAATAGATATGAAAAGAAGAGAAATTAATTAGGTATATATGTATATATATTATTATAACTAACAATTAGATTAGTCCCTGCCTTGATGGATTAATATTGGAAATCTTCAAAACAAAACAAAACAAAACAAAACAAAACAAAACCCATCTTATTCCTATCTTACAGAAGGGAGTAAAGGCTGGGATCCGGTGGCGGACAATCCTTATAGGGGACGATTGGGTCGGTTCGCACAAAATCCCTAAGCAAATCCGAACAGTTAACATTAAACAAAGACAATGAGAGGATCAATAGATCGAGAGATGAATGGGTTATAGATAATATTATCAGTAATGATAAAGATTAGATTAAAACCAAACAAAAACCCATATCTCCTATATATCTTACCCACAGCTAGGGAGTTTCCTAAGAAACAACGGAAATCTCTTCCATCGATTTCCACTTCCAATCCACAGCGATGTTTTGTTCCCCTTGATTTTCTTCTTTTGTGCTCTCCCCATTTTTCTTTAGAGGTGACTTGGTTGGTAAGTTTACGGAAGAGAAGATCGGCTAGGGTTTGCAGGGCTAATGGGTTTTGAGAGTTACTTTCTTTGAGTTCGACTTCTCTTTCGTCCCTCAACTTTCAGTTTTGAACTAATTTGGTTCATAAACTTGAAAAATTACTAAAATAGTCCGTAAACTTTTTTTTTTACCATTCCTTTTGTCGGTTAAATGCTGATGTAGATTTTTTTTTTTTGAACATTTTGTCAAAGGCCGGTTCGAACCGCTACCTGGGAAAGGATATGAACCTTACAATCGTGACTAGAGCAACTTCACCCGAAAGATCAGGTTCAAATGCTGATGTAGATGGTTGTTAACTCTTTAAAAATTTCGTGTTTTTAATTCAAAATTTAGGTAAAAATTGCGTGGATAGATATAGTATCATTTAACCTTACATGGCAGTTGCTCAAAGATTACCTAAACAAATTTTAAGATATGAATCCATTCTTAGGTCCTTCTCTATGAATCCGTAATCTATGGTTGCTGCTCTCTGCTTTATATGTTCCTTACTTTTTCTTGTTTGCAATACTTCTCTTCTTCTAGTCGAATAAAGCAGCTGTCGAGGATTCATACTTGTGCCAGCGAGGATTTGCCTAAAACTGTCCCGCTGGAATCGGACGACTTACTTAAAGATTGTGCTGTTTGTCTCGAGGTGATTGTCAAGTTTCTCTCTAAAACTTTCATTTTTTAAATTTCTTTCCTTGACAAATTATAGGTGGAATTTTGCAGAGCAGAGTGCAGCAAATTATAGACGAGTACTCTGATGTTGGTTTTCTAACCATTGAAGATTTGGGTAAATTCCCTTTGTTATGCTTTTATGGGAGCAGTTAAAGTAGAGATTTTGGGTGTTTTCGTGATATTGATTGCTTTCTTTATTAATGTAGATGCATATGTGGAACGTTTGAAGGACGAACTTAAGGAGGTTGAGGCTGAAAATGCTAATATTTCTGGTGCAATAGAGGTTCTTTCAAGAACAAATGTTGAAATTTAGATATAATAATCTCAGTTTTTTTTTTTTTTTTTTTTTTTTTTTTTTTTTTTTTTTTTAAATAAAAGCATGTATGGATGTTTGTGTTTTTTTTATTCAGACCCTTTATTTTCTCAGAATCATATAAACTGGAAAGCAATCTCGGAGGTTTGAACTGTTCACTGGATTTAGTTGAATCACAGGTCAGTCCTATCTCAGTTGAAGGAAAATTTCTTAGATTTCTAAAATTAGCTTCAATCATAATCTTGTGACATTGGGAGGGTAGCATTTCAGAAAAACGATTACTTTAGCTGACCCATTGACATTGGCATTTTATTAAGCTTCAATGATAAAGTGCATTGCTACTTGCTTAGTGGTGTGTTCTGGTTGCTCTTCCTCTCACTCACTTCTTCATGTTTTGTATATACGGATATACATGATGTTGATCGGGAATTAATTTTAACTTTTATCATCATGAACTTGTGAAAGATCTGAAGAAAACTAGGGGGGACCTAGACCTTGCCTGCTTTTCAATCCAAGAAGATCAACTACATACAGCAGATGCATGTCAAAAGCAAAAGTTTCAGGTTTTGCTCACATGGGTCTCTTGTTTTATATTGCCTATTTCTTGAATATTGCCTTGGCTTCCTAGTGCCAAAGGATGAAAAGTGCTTTAGTAGTAGACTAGTGGCCTGGTAGTAGTATTTCCTAAGACTGTACGAATGTTACAAAAACATGAAAATATTCTCAGTTTCTTTATGATGTATGTTTGTCTGCACTAATAATTATATTACAATATAGATATTTGTGATTTATTCTGTTCAGATATTGACCACGTCTAAACACGGTGTCAAATTGTTGATTTGACCTATGTATTTTTCTTTGTTAGCCATGTGACTACGATAATTTTCTTTCTGTGGCCTCAGATTTTGGAACTTGATAGTCAGATTGAGAAGAATCAAATGATATTAAAGTCTTTGCAGGACCTTGATGTTATATTCAAAAGGTAGTGCGAACCTTGTTTATGCTTTTAATAAACATACGTGACCCATGTCTTTACTTTCACCTATTACATGCCTTTTCTTTTCCTTATAATCAGGTTTGATACCATAGAGCAGATTGAAGATGCATTCACAGGTCTAAAAGTCTTTGAGTTTGACAGAAACTGCGTCAGGCTGTCACTGAAGACTTATATTCCAAAATCTGAACATTCACATTGCCAGCAGCACTTTGAAAATATTCCTGAGCCATCTGAAATGGATCATGAAGTGCTTGTAGAAATCATGGATGGGACTATGGAGCTAAAGAATGTTGAGGTATGACTTCAGTTGTTTTCCTCAAAACATGGAAGCATCCTGGGATTTTCTTTGATTCCATGTTTAAACAAGGGAAGAATAGAAATTTTCTGATTCAACTGTCAAGAATTCTTTTCTGTTCTAGTTCTAGAATAGATCATGCAAGATGAATTAGTAATTGCAGTAGAGGGATCAGAGAAGTATCTAATGTAGGAAAGAGAATGAGCTTGTCTTAAGTTTCTTGCTGCTCAATTACAGGTATTGAAGCATTTAGGTCCTAAGCCAGTGGTGAACCTTTTCCCAATCTTGTCATAATGACTTATGTGATTTGATAATGAATTGCAGACTTAAAATATTGTCATACATTTTGAATTAGCAATCTTTCAGATTGTAGCATGAAGCTTACGTGCTAGATGGTGGCACTCCATTATATAGTGAAACTAGAGAAATGTTGCTTTATGCAGTTTTTCCTCTTCATGCTCTCTGACCGTGTCGTTTTTCTGTTTAGCTTTATTTTCTGCGTTTTTTATTTATTGCTTTTGCCTTCATTGCAACAAAGTTCTGCAGTAGTTACTATGATATTTTAATTCTTAATGATGTCATATTCATTTCATCCAGATGTTTCCAAATGACGTATACATAGGTGATATAGTAGACGCTGCAAAGTCCTATAGGTTTTTCTCTTTCTTTTGTTATTTTTGCCTTTGAGTTTGGATTATGTTTTAGGACAGGTCTATAAATCTGCATGCTTGTGGTAGCTCATAAAAAGGGATGTAATGTGTCTCATTCTGAAGGAGAAAATAAATAGAATGCTAGCAGTAATAAAATGTTCTTCACAACATAGTTGCTTAGAAACCCAAAGGGGACTTCTGCATTACCAACCATTCTGTCACAAGTATCACATTACATCACCGAGGCAATATGATGCCCACTGAGTAAATTGAGATCATACATTGATGTGTTTGGTGCACTTACATGATTATTAAGAATCTACCTGTGTTATAACCTTCATGCGGTAATCCCTGTATGTACAGGAAATTAACAAGGTGTATCCCTCTCTGACAAAAGGACTAAGAACAAATGATATAAATTATTAATTGCAGAATTTGTTTGTGAGGAATTGCAAATAAGAATTACATAGTTCTTTAAATTTGTTTTTTCAAGAGCAATCTTTTAGTTGACAGGTGGCATAAATTACATAGTTATAACAGTGTCCTAGTTTTCTCTTCTTCATTCTAATTTCTACATTTAATTATTTATCCTTTTGAACTTTACCATATATCCTAAAACTTAAATCATCGATAAGGTTCCTACCTTATATTCTAACCTGTTTATCAGGAGGTCAACCTTGTTTATCCCTTCCTTTCTGCTTTTTCTTTTCTTTTGAAAATACTGCTCCTAATATTTAATCCTCATTCTATGAGCTAATATCATGTCTGTTTACTTTTGGCTCAAATCAACATGAACAGATTGCTGGCTATTTGAGTGCATCCTGTGATTATTGAGCTACTTTATGTAAACTCCAGGTCTTAATTTGAATTGCCTTAATTAAAGACGTGTGATTGTTGTTGCCCTGTTGTAGGCATCTATTCTCGAAGTCTATGGTTATGGAGAGAAGGTCTTCTTTGCAGTGGTTCGTAGGGAAAGTGCAAGACAGAATTATTTTAAGCACTCTGAGACGAACTATAGTGAAGAGTGCCAGTAAATTAAGGTAAGAGGTCTATATGGTACAGTCAACATAGTTCAGCTTCTATAATATATTTCCTATATTAATTTTGGACATTATATTTTCCATATAAAGTTTGTATGATACATAAAATGAGAGTTTTACATATAGTTCCTGGTACAGACTCTCTTCTGAGTACATAGATAGAGATGAAATAATTGTAGCTCATTGGACTGGGGGAGTTGATACATTCATAAATGTGTCTCAAGGTTGGCCACTTTCAGATTCTCCTTTTGAAGTTGATATCTGTCAAGAGCTCAGATCCTCATTCAAGGGGAATTTCCTTGAGCTTACTTTGCAAGGTCGAGATGAGTGGATATTATTATTACTATTATTTTTTTTTTTTCTATTTGGTCTGGGTAGATAATCTCACAAGCATAAGATAACATAAGATTCCACTCATAAGTTCTTGAAAAGAAAATGACTGGAATCTTATGTCATGCACCATTCATCCCCATTTTAATACATGCTGATAGTTGCCTCTTACATGGAATTTGATGGTATCATGAGCTTAATACTTATCATTTAAGTGCCTTCTGTTTTCACTTAAGAGTGTACTGAAGACATTTTTACCGTCATTTTTTCGCACATTCTTATTGTCAAAATGAAATGAAGTAATTGTTTCATTTTCTGAAACCAAACGCACCCTGGTTTAGAGGAGCGGTAGTTATCTGTAGTTAGCTTCATAGGAACCCAAATGATGCATATCCAATTTCATAATCTCTTAAAGCTAGAAAATGAATCTATTTCATATTAATATATTTTCCCATGATTTCAGTATGTTGGTTGTTTGGTGTAAATTGAAGCTAGATCACTTCAGCTAGTTTCAACATCAATATCTGGGTCGATGAAACTATAGTTCATATTTAATCTCTGCCTTCATCACTATCAGTTTCAAGTTTTCAACATCAATATGTTGCTCTGCAGATTCTTAGTTATCAATATCTAGATTGCTTATAATAGGTTTTTTTCTATTGAATGATTTCAATATGTTAGGGAACCGGCAAATTCCTTGGATACTTGCACGTGACATGGCTTGTCAAGCTTTATAAATGCTGTTGAAAAGCTACTTGTAGAGCAGATGCGCCTGGAACTTCAGTCTGGTGATGTCCCTGAAAAGGACTGCACTGCAGTCTCTACCATGCGGTAAACGTCAAACATATCGTACATACTTTTTTAAATGCAAAGTCTGCCCCCATTCTCGGGAAAGCAATGGTTGAGATGATTGCATGATCAGATCTTTAGACAAGATGCATAATTGCAACATTTTCGTTGTAAAAATGCTATACCGTTTTAGGTTGGTGAAAGTCTATGTTACAACATGGAAAGCATAAAGGCTTGTGAGGTGCTGGAGTTGGCTAGCTCTGCCGAGGCCTTTCTAAGGGACAAGTTCGCCGTGGAAGAGTGTTGAGGATGAAAGATAATGATAGTAGGGTTCAGTTTTGGTATAGTTGTAACCATCACAGGGAAGAGTACATATGTAGCATCATGATCACATCAAATTCTCCCTTATGTCCATATCATTCCAGTCATTTTAATGAATCAAGAACAAAATGAAGTTTAAGAGACTAAAGAAGACAAATGACAGACATTTATATCAGGTAGAAAGAGCTACTAGAAATGAAATTAAGCCATATCAGAACTAATTCCATTGCTGCATTGAAATCATTATGAAATTATAAACTAATGAAACGGTTAAATTATGATAATCAGAAAGCAACTAGCATTTTCCAAAGATGCATGTCTATATAAATGAATGTTGACGAATTCAATATTTTTGTACAACTCCAATTGTCTCATGGTAATTCCGTTCTCTTTTCATGGACCAAAAATGAGTCTCAAAAAGAGCTGGATGGCAAACTTTTGGTCGGACAAACTAGAACACCAAACATTTATAGGCAATACGAAGATTATGAAACGAAAAATGTCAAAAGAGAACCGAAGAGGAAGAAATTCTTAACTTTTTCAAACGCAAAATCAAAGGCGATCCAAATGGTTCCAAACATAGCATGAAATACAATATTGTGTTTATTGATTATACATACTCTGTTGGACACATGATATTTATTCCTTTGTGTCGCAAACAATATCCACCTCCTAGACTCAGTAGTTGATCCACAAAATAGCCTAACTTACAAATAACAATGACAAGTACAACAGAACACTGTACAAGAACATAACAAAACTAAAAGGTATAAAACTTATGAATGTTTCAAACCATGCCATCAAACATTAATATCGTTCAAGTTAGTTCACTTGAAACCCTAGCAGCCTTATTTTGGTCTGTTACCCTTTAGCAAAAGCACAGAACTTTCTCCTACCAAGCATGTCAACAATGTTTATGCAATTGACATTAAAAAATCAGGTTAACTACCTATCGTAAAGGACTCATGTTGAACATTTTGGGTACATCAGCAATGATCCCTAACATAGGACCCAAACAATGACAAGAAGAAAACTAACAGACCTCATATCCAGCACCAACCTTCAATTGTCATTTTGAACCAAGAACAACCAAAACTCTACAGAAGAAAACTTTCAATATGAAATGAGTTGAGTTCAATTTAACCCTCAATTTTTTCATATTGAGAAAAAATTTCAGCAGAAACATCTTTAAATCAGTGAAAACAGAGTCATGAAACCATGTAAAGCATCAATCTGAAATTGGCCATCTTTAAAGAAGGCATGAAAGGCTAATCCACAATATGTCAATATCTATTCCACCCAAACATTTATCAACTATTACAACAGGTAATTAGATTTTTCTCAGGAAAATTCAATTGAAACCCTAGACAGAATCATGAAAAAGATAGTAAATTTGTCTGACATATACAAGCGCGAAGATTGTTAGACCTCACTTACAGTAACGATCAGCCTTTTTCTTGACGCGATCATCGAGGGCATCCTCAACAGACTTGGCATTGGGATTTTTGGGGTCGTAACCGAACTTCTTGGCCTCGACGGGGAAGAGATCCTCGTACTTCATGCGCTTGGCGGCGTCGATGGTGTAGGTTTGTTCTCCAGAACCAGATTCGGCAGCAGCTTCGTCGACGGGCGGCTGAGATTCGTCATCGTTCTTGTTCTTGTGCTTCTTCTTCTTTTTCTTGTCGATGGTTTTGCGAGTAGCCAGACTCCCACCTTTGAAGGTGAGCCTGCCCCCTTTCACGTTCTCGTACGGGTCCGACATCTCTTACGACGGTCCCACTCCCACTCCTCTTCTCCACTGTTGATTTCGGTGCTTTCTAACAATCGGTAATCCACCGGCTTCGGAAAAGAAGGCGCACTACAAATTCACCGCTTTCCAGCGTTTCTAATGGTTTTCGAGACTTCGAGGGCCTGTGTTTCTGAACTTGGATGGTTAAATGATGACTTTCTTCTTTTATAAGATTAAAGGTTATATCCCCGATTCAGTCCCTGAACTTTCATTTTTGGACTAAAAATACCCTCGAACTAAAAAAAGTACTAAAAAAATCCCTAAACTTAAATTTTTGGAACCATTTTAGTCCTTCCGTCGACGGAAGTGCCAGATGGCACATTATGTTGCCACAAAATCAAGCTTTTTTTTTTTCAACTAATGACATGGAAAAACCACATGTAAAAGTGTATGAGTTGGCATTTTATCCTTAAAATTACACAATTATCCCTTAT